AAAAAAAAAAAAAAAAAAAAAAAAAAAAAAAAAAAAAAAAAAAAAAAAAAAAAAAAAAAAAACAGATAAATCAAGGGAAAGCTCCCCACATGAACAAATGCAAATTCACAAATCCTAATCCACAGGAATCTATGGTGAAATAATTCATACCTGCCTTAAAGTCTTTCTCTGGTTCAGAGCATACATGTTATCTTGGTCATCAGAGCCACTTTCCTGAGTTATATATATAGGAGGAACAGTGCTTTCGCAGGCCATATCAAATGCACGGAGCGTATCCTCATAACCATAATGTTCCAAGTATGAGCGCACTATTCTGATAACAAAGAACAAAGTATCAGCAATCAGATCATGTACACTGTTCTGACATGAAACAAAGTATGTACATAAGTAATCTACGAATATGCACAATTACAAGTTTGTCCCTCATTCAAGCTCTATCCTGCTGCTCTCTGTACTGTCACCATTCTCATTGAAATGTCTATTCCAACATTCATCCATGCATACACACACACATATATATCAAGTATCAATAGTATTTGCTAGCCAGTTGGTTTCTGGAAGTATATGAATAAATAAATAAACGTGGCTTCTGGATGATGGAAGGTTATCATTATATTTAATCAATCTCATAGATTTTATCATTGTAACACCAATTCTGTAACGTCTGTTATTTTATCAAATAACAAATCATCTTAAAAATTTGTAAAACACGACTGTCAGAGAAATCTGATTCTCTTTCTTAGCGGTGCTCAAGAGTTGGCCGATTGTTGAAAGCTCAAAATTGTACTAGCTACAATTTATTAATAGACCTTCAGTCAACTACTCAGGAGTTTCCTAAAAACTAATCCTCAACCAAATGTTGTATAGTCAAATGGTTAGTCTACAATGTCAAACCTGACAATCAGAGGATTTAAGGATATTCAAAAGCAATTTTCTTTACCTATAACTGACATTTGATGGCAAAGAGAACTTCTCAATGGTGGCTTGTTGCTTCATCCTCTCTTGGGCTTCCAATACCTACGAACAACAATGCAACACAGGAAAAATATCAATATGCATTTTGGTTCCCATCTCAATGTTTAGATACTAATATCACAAGTATTATGCAACAAACAATTTAAACTCATAAGAATTTTTTGGGAGCATGATTCCTGTTTCTGTAACTTCTAAAATCCGGCACATTACTGAATACACTATTGAAGAAACAATATACATCAAATTATTCATATTTTTATGAATAACCGTACTTTTATTGGGAAAAAAAATAAAAGAATACAAGAACATACAAAAGAAGTCCACTAAAAGGAATCAAATTATACAAAAGGGCTCCAATCAAGTAAAATAAGACTAAGAGGGTAACTACAAAAAGGACTTTGACACCGAAACCCCCCGTGAAACATAGAATCTAACAAAGGTCAAACATCATTCAAAAACTTTTCCCAAACCCTAAAGATTCAATTATTTTTCTTGCCTCAAAGACCCCACAAAATAGCACAACCTACCACATAAAATTAAAAATAAAAAGTTTAAAAAAAAAAAAAAACTTCCTCGCAAAAAGAAGAATGGAGAAGGGGATCCTCAATCATCTCTACAGCCCTAAAAGTTGGTAAAGCAAAAACCAAACACTTAAAGAAACAACTCCAAACGGCACTAGCATAATCACATCTCCATAGAAGATGATCAAGGTCCTTTGCTGCCCTCCTACAAAGAATACAAAAGAGCAGCCCAACCAACATGAACCCTCTTTCCAAGACCCAATCAAAGGTCTTAACTCTTCCATATAAAAACATGTCATACAAAGAACTTAATCTTCTTGGGAATCCTCACCTTCCACACAAAGGAAAAAAACTGAACCGCTCAATAGGGAGGAATGGACCAAACACTGCAAGAATGAACTAATAGAAAAGCCTTTAGACGAACAGGTACTCCAAAGGGAAGCATCCCTCCTATTAGGGCTAGGGTGAAAGTCACCCAACAAAGCCAAAACTTTTTTGCTTTCCTATTGGTCAACGGACAACAAAAAACCCAAGGAAAGGAGAAGGTTGGACCTCGTAATGAGAAAGAATTGAAGTCACTGAATGATTCTTCAAAGACAACAACTGATGTAACCGAGGGGTCTATCCCCCAATCACATATGCTTCCCAAAAGTAAGCATCTCTCTCATCTCCTATTACACTAAAAACAAAGGAAGTTGAACTAAATATTTTTCCACGAGTCTTTGGAACTGCCTTTATGACCAATAATACATTCTAAATGATGCTGCCATGTTGGCTGACAATAACAGGATGGTTGTGGCTTTATTAAGTTGTGGGCTCTTAAAGCGGTGTTAAAATTTTGGAATCAAAAGTTTTATTTTTAACTTAAGAATTAAGCAACAAGCATTAGGGAAGCTCAAGCACTAGATTGGGTGAAGGAGAACAATAAATAGGTTCGATTCTTAATTGGATAATAAAACCCCAATTTATGAAGATTTATTCCTTCTCTTCAAGATCATACATCAATTGCGATGATTTTAAAAATGACATATTGGGATAGATGGAAATTAACAATATCACCAAAACTATATAAGAAGTTTCTCCTCATACAGCTAGCATTGACCAGCTTTGTGATACGAATGGACACAAAAAAAACACAAGCAGCGGAAATGAAATAGAGAAGGGCAAAGATTCCCGACTTAGAGCATGTTATTGACTTGACCACAAATTTGTGAAATAAAGGTGGCTTGCTTACTTTCAACCACTAGTTAGAAGGAAGTTCAGTGACTTCATTTATGCTCATTATGCAATAAAGAAAGCAAGTGAGGCGGACTAAGCTTCCATACAAGTAAGGTAAGAGGATTCAGTCTTGCACCATTTTGAGGGGAGGCTTAAAGCCTTGTAAGGAGGAGCGTTTGGAAATAAAGACCATGTTTGTGGAAATTGTTAGAAAGGAAAGTGTGAGTCAGGGATAGAAAACGAAGGTTAAATGGGTGAGTGAATGAAATTGTAATATGACTTATTTTCAGAATTTCTAGTTGTAGAAGGAATAAATATTTTATTAGCTCTCATGAGAATGAGGCTGACTTGGTGCTGAAAGGGAACAGGGAGATTGAGGAGGAAGTTTTTTCTTCTTTTTTTTTTCTTTTTCTTTTTTCTTTTCCGTCTCTGTATGGTGCAGTGGTGGTTCCTAGACCATTCTGGGATGGGGTGCACAGGAGTCCTATCTCTTTCACTGACAAAGGTTTGTTAGACTCTGCTTTCTCCCTCGAGGAAATTAGAAGAGTGGTGTTTGAGTGTGACGGAAACAAAGCTTTAGGCCCTGATGGGTTTCCCATGGTTTTTTCCAAGATAACTGGGTGCTTATCAAGGAGGATCTTTGGAGAGTCTCCAATAAGTTTTATGAGAGAGACCTCCTAGATAGCTCTTTGAATGAAACTATTGTTTTCCTTATTCCTAATAAAGAAAAAGGCCACGAAGGTTAAAGAGTTTAGACCTATCAATCTTGTGACGTGTATAAGATAATTGCCAAGGCATTGACAAATAGACTTAGAAGGTTCTCCCCACAACGATTTCAAACACCCAAGGGGCTTTTTTGATGAAAGTTTTTTTTCATAATTTTCGCTCCAACTCTTTAACTATGGGTTCATCAAATAAAGGGCCATCCTCAATAAAACCGTTAAAGCAGCACATACACCTAGTCATTCTCCCAGGGCAAACTTCAAATTATTGTAGGAAAAGCTTAAAAATGCAAGAACATCTTCAGTCTCAAGAAACTTAAATTTAAAAAATAGCAAGGTTTTTAACTCAGCAAGAAGAAAGGATTTTCTTTCCTAGAAAAGGTTAACTATTTTCTGTACTAGCAGGTGAAAACAGGTCCTAGACAGAAAATACACATTCTGGCACCTAAAATTGAACCGGTGAAGTATAATAGACCATTAGTGTTTCCTCCTACAAAGATCAACCCAAATACCCATGATCGGGAGAAAAAAAAATAGACAAATTGTCTGCTTCCCAAGAATGAGTATAAGATCCTCAGACTATTGCAAAGGGAAACTGATAATTAAGGAGGCAGAAGTCCAGAAACTGACCTTGATATCAAACGCAAACGGTTTCTGTCCAAAGTTGACTTGCACCCTGCCAAATTGTAAGAAAATGTATCTCTTAATCAAGATATCCATAAAAATTATGAAACAAAACTTTCATAAAAATCAGAACAAGTTCAGTTCAATGGCATAAGGATCCTAAACATACTAGTAACACCTAGTTGTATATAGTAAGGCTTTACAACGTCATAAAGAAGCCAATATAAGAGGAAATGCTTAAAACTTCAATCACTATTTATCACAAGATGAAACTTGAAAAACTTTTAGAGGCCTACAAAGGAGAGAAGCAAAGGGCCAATGAAGTTTGTGACCTCAACCCTCCATGGAGTCAACATCAAAGAGCTGATTCAGAGTCCTCTTGGAGTACTTTGCCCAAGCTCACTTTGTAGGCTAGACCTTTTGAAATTAATTCCTCTTAGAGCAGTTTTTTGTGAGTTCCTAATTTTGGGTAGTGCTTTTTGTATCCCCACTTTGTACTTTTCATACACTCAACAAGAAGTTATCATTACTTATCAAAATAAGTAAATAAATAAACAGTTCCTCTGACCAAAAAAAAAAAAAAACTTTTTAAAACAAGAAACAACACTCACAAACCAAAGAATGCTATAAGCAGGGGAGAGAAGAAACAAAATACCACCAATCCCAATAACAAATATGATTTCAAAAATGCTCTTTTCCCTCCTTTCTTCACAAAACTATGGAAAGTTTGCATTTCAAAGGAGGTGAAGACGTTTGCTTGACTTGTTTCTTACAAGTGGATTGCACCTACAATGAACCTCGACTTCTAAAGAAGGCTGTGAATACCTTAACCATTAAACTATGCTCAAGTTGGTAGCACCCATCATGTTTTTTTTATGACAAACAATTTCATTGATGACATAAAATTAGAGGGAGGAGATCAAACCATGCTCAAGTCAGTAGTACCCATGATAATAGCAATAAATTATAACTTCCTCGTCATTTATCTACAAAAGAATGTAAAAGGTAAACAACTAAGCTAAGTGAATTTTTTTTCTAACCATGGTATTTGGCACCAGTCAACACTCCACAAAATTTAAATAAAGGGCCTTCACATGTTAAGATTTCCATCCAAGAGAATGGACCTCAAAATTCGGGCACACTACCACCCGAAAAACCAGGAAAGATTGCTGTAAAAGTATCAAATACTTCACACCAGAAACATTATTAAAGGATTACCTTGAAGGAATTACAAAAGCAATGAAAGCCTTCTGTTACGCTAAAGCAACATCAGATACATCACGAGCTGGTTCCAACTACATTTATATAGTTTAAGACCGGACTAACTACATCACAAGTAGAAATCCATTGGGTTGCTATAAAACCTTAACACATATAATCCTAACTAAATTATCAGAGTAACCAACGTATATGCAAACAAAGTATCAAGGGAATAGAAGTTTGATGAGGAGCATACTCTTCGTTTTGGCTGTGAACAGCAATCGTAGGAAACAAGGGACCCTTTATGTCCTTTTCTACTGCTCCAACAACTACCCCATTTTTTCTGGTACATCGACAGAAGAACCAAAGTATCATGATGATAACCTTTAACAAAAACCTTACAACTAAACAATTACAGTGCAAGAATGTCTTACGTGAAAAAGAGTTCCCCTGAGGCGTAATTAATTCCAGCACCAACCGTATCACCAGATGTATATGTTGGACCAAAAGGCTCTTTCTTACTTACTCCACGATAAAGTAGTCCGTCATCTCCATGATATCCACAGCTATTAGGTTCCCACCTACTCGTCCAAATTAACAACACAGGGCATTTGAGAGCTTACAATGAGAAGGGGAGGGGATATCTCTGGAAAATGCAGAAAAGCTAAATGAAGTTAAATTTGTTGGATGAAAGTCCTCGGCTAATTTAGGAAATGATCATAGGTTTATAATCAAATAATACTATCTCCATTGGTATGAGAGGCCTTTTGGGGAAGCCCAAAGCAAAGCCATGAGAGCTTATGCTCAAAGTGGACAATATCATACCATTGTGGAGAGTTGTGTTCATCTAACATGGTATCAGAGCCATGTCTTAAATCATCTAACATGGTATCAGAGTCGTGCCCTAAACTTAGTCATATTAATAGAATCCTCAAATGTCGAACAAAGTATTGTGAACCTCGAAGGCATAGTCAAAAAATGACTAAGCTCGAAAAGAAAAGGAGTCGAGACTCAATTAAGGGGAGGTGTACTTTGTTCGTTGGATGAAAGCCCCACATCGGCAAATTTAGGGAATGATCATGAGTTTATAATCAAAGAATACTATCTCCATTGGTATGAAGCCTTTTGGGGAAGCCCAAAGCAAAGGCACGAGAGCTTATGCTCAAAGTAGACAATATCATACCATTGTGGAGAGTTGTGTTCATCTACCAAAATCCACTCAAGAATCATAAAGATAAGCTCTAACTCGATAGTTGCAGATACTATATTCAATTCCATTTATCAATTCCAATAAAAAGAAACATTCGTAACATGTCCGAGTGACAAAGAAAGAATCCACATAATCAATGCAATCACAGCAAAACCGAAAAGCGAATCAAGAAAGAAAGAGAAATAGAGGAAGTACGTCCTACCCGGGCTGCCTCCGCACCTTGAACCTATCGGTGGTGAAGCCGATGGCAATCTGGCCTTTAGCCCCAGCGTCTTTTACATGAATCTCGAAGTAGTAGACAAGTCGTTTAACAGGAGCTGGCTTATTAGCTTGGATGACACCAACATCGTGGCCGTGAAGATTCACATTCGTATACTTAATAGAAAGCTTATCGGTGGCAACGAACAAGAAACCTCCGGAACTGTTGATGGTATTGAGCTCAGTGGGAGACTCGTCGTCGTCCGTGTCGCATAGCCCAAATCGAGCCATTTCCAAGAAGTGCAATCCGAGATCTTGAGGAGTAGTAGAATTAGTGGTGTTAATCACGTTGTTGCTACTGTTGATGCGATCGTTCATCTTCAAGGAAAATTCCTTCCCCCTAGAATTCAGTAACCATTTCGGAAATCGATTGATTGGAGGCGAAGTCGAATACTTGAAATTTCAAGATACGGCAATGGAGGCTTTCGGGAAATTGAAGAAGGAAGAGAAACCGCAATGGAGCAACAAAGAAAAGAATCTTTAATATTTTCTGTTTTTTTTTTTTTTTTTTTTTTTTTTTTTTTTTTTTTTTTTTTTTTTTTTTTTTTTTTTTTT